TTACCTCCTTAAAGGCCCTGTCTCCAAATACAGTCACATGGGATATTGGAGGCTAGGACTTCAACATAAGAATTTGATTACTTAATTACCTCCAGATACAGTCACATGGGATACTGGAGGTTAGGGCTGCAACCTAAGAATTTGGGAGGGGACACAATTTAGTCCAAACAGTGTCCTTCAAGACATCATGTCCATCTGGAACCTCAGAATGTGGCCACACTTGGAAATAAGGGCTTTGCGGATATAATTGGTTAGATCGTGCAATTGGTTAGGTCCTACTGGATTCAGATGGGTCCTAATTCTGATGACTGGTGTCCTTATAAGAAGGCCATGAGAAGACGTAGAGACACAGGGAAGGAGGCCGTGTGAAGACGGACGGAGGGAGGGCCTGGAGTGATGCAGCCGCAAACCAAGGAACACCTGCAGCCCCCAAAAGCCAGAAGAGGCCAAGAAGGGCCCCTCCCGGAGCCTTTGAAGGGGGCGAGGCTCTGCCAACACCTTGGTTTCATACTAATGCCTTCCAGAACCATGAGAGAATAAACTTCGTTGTCTTAATGCACCCAGTTTGTGGCGCTTTGTCGTGGCGGCCACAGGAAACTAAGCGGAAACCGATCTTTGTTCAGGGCTAGCTCCTATCTTAAGTGCCTCTTGAGTATTTGATTATTCTCATGAGATTCACGAGGAAGACACTGCATTTTCCTTCCTTCCCAGAGGAGGAGTGAAGAAGTGTTTTCTCCAGAAATGCGTAGGATGGGGCTCAATTTGTCAAAGCCTGGGGCCCGCAGGAAAGGAACAACTTCGTCCCCAGAGGAGTCAAGACTCAAATCCCCGGCTGGGCATGAGGAAACCAAGTTCTAATCTTCCTCTGAGTACTAACATGCTGCGTGACCTTGGCTGCTTACATAACCTCTCTGTGCTGGCCCATGTATCTTGCCCAGGTTTTATACAGCCAGCAAGCGGGGAAGATGAGATTTAAAATAAAGACTTTCTAACGTTAGCACTGGTGTGGTCACCCCAGCCATGCTGCTCAGCGTGTTGACGGCTGTTGTGAAACCTCGGTTCTTTTTAGTGTAAAAGAATATAAACAAGAGACCGCAGCAAAGGGGATGCAGCATAGAGCAATTGATTGCAAAGAAGAAAGAATGTTCTGAAAGTTAGGTGCGGAATAGACAGGACACCCTGGGAGATATTCAGAGCAGATGAGACAGCCTTAACTGTTACCGGGGAAACTCCCTTTCTGGGGAGTCTTATGTGATTATTCATAAGGGGGTGGGAAGAGGCATCACTAGTAAGCATGTTCTGGCGGGTTGGGGATGGTCCTCCGAGTGCACATGTTCAGTAGCTGTACACACTTGTTCAAACATCACATCTCTCATTAGCATCTTAAGTCTCTGCCCAAGGGTGTGTTTTTTACTATTATAATGAGCAGAGGGTCAGTCTGAGGACAGATAAAGTCAAAGTGCTCGTGCCATTTGCAGGGGACGTTCCCTACTCAGATAACTGTGCTTGGAAGAGCGAGACTGCAGTGTGAATGCTGAAGCTTATTGTGTTGACGGTTTGGTCGCCGCGTCCCAAGGACATGGTCACTTCCTTGACTACCTATCCTGCCTCAAGTGTGGGCTGTGGAGCGTAACAGCGAAGCCCAGGCTCTGGAGCCAGACATCCTGGGCTCAGATTCCAGCCGGGCCACTTACTGTGCCCTGCCGGAGGTGAGCCCAGGCGGCCCAGAGGCTATGGGGTGGGTACCAGCAGCATTGTCCCCCTCATCCCCCGTGGTAGCTTGTCGGCTTCTCACCCATCCTCTCTAAAGCAGCTCTCAGACCTTGCTGTGCATCAGAGTATCGCCAAGATTGCGGAAAGTGAGGTACAGGTTAGATCGCTTGCTCACAATTACACAACCAGGCTGACAGCCTGAGTAAAACCCCTATCAATGATTGCCGCAAAGGGTAAGCCAAGCAGTGTATAAATGTAAACCCAGAACATCAGAGGCAAGTCTCAGTTAATTTAGAAAGTTTATTTTGCCAAGGTTGAGGATGCGCACCTGTGACAGCCTCAGGCGGTCCGGACGACATGCGCCCAAGGGGATCCGGGCACAGCGTGGTTTTATGCATTTTAGGGAGACATGAGACATCAATCAATATATGTAAGAAATACATTGGTTCAGTCAGGAAAGGTGGGACAACTGGAAGCAAAGACAGGAAGGCTCCAAGTGGGGAGGGGGCTTCCAAATCACAGGTAGGCGAGAGATAAACAGTTGCATTCTTTTGAGTTTCTGATTATCCTTTCCAAAGAAGGCAGTCAGATCAGCATTTATCTCAGTGAGCAGAGAGATAACTGAATAGATAGGAGGCAGGTTTGCCCTAAGCAGCTTGAATGTTCCTTTTTGCCTAGGGATTTTGGGGGCCCAAGGTATTTTCCTTTCACAAAGGAAAGTGCCTGGCCAGCCCCGGCGGGTGCTGGTAAATACATCAGTTTCAATGAAGGGTTGTCAGTGAT